GCTGCTGCTGCTGCTGCTGTAATTGTTGCTCCCGAAGGAAGGTGGCTATATATGTCTGGAATTGTGACGATGATGATGATGATGCTGGTATTGATGATGGTGATAATGATGATGATGATAATGATGATGATGATGATGATGATGATGATGATGATATTTATCTATTTCTTAGCGCTAACAGTAAGAAATACAAGGACTGCTTGTCATTATTTATAGCATTAAAGCTTTGAACATTTACTGAGTAGGTGGCTGGCGGGTGCTCTAGTATGGTTTTCTTTCACTTTCCTATCAAACATCTATCGTCCCTATTTCTCTCCTTCTTCGATGTGTAAGTTACTGTCTAGTAACACCTCTAATCTTCGGCATTTTAAAACCGAATTGTGTTGCAAGTGATGTACAGCTCGGGCTAAAACTATACCAACTTACTGGACGCTGTTCCAAGTAGCAAGGCATAAAGGCATAAAGTTTCACTTGAGAAAAATTGTGAGACAAACAAACAAACAAACAAACAAACAAACGAACAGAAACACCAAATCCAGTGACGCGGGTGAAAGGTGGAGGTCGCAGGGGGGGGGGGTGTCAATTTACATAAAAATAATAATAGTAATAATAATTGCATTAAATTTTATATAGCACATATCCATGCCCAAGAGCATGCTCTAAGCGCTTTACAACTATCATTACCCCAGCAGACCCTCTGAGAAAACTCAGAAACATACTCAGCTTCCGTGGAAGCATACTGTGCAAGCTGCGGATTTCACGCGCTCAAACACTATCAAACTGACAAGATCGTTCACTGTCTATAGCCGGGTATCCATTTCCACCTGGGCGAAGTGAGGAAAATTTGTGCAAAGTGCCTTTCCCAAGACACAAGGTCGGGCCCCTGACGACAGGATTCGTTGGCTCCCCATGACCTTTATGGAAAAGACAGCGAAGGTATTAAAGGTTGGGGAAGAGAAACTCCTTATTATTATTATTATTATTATTATTATTATTATTATTATTATTATTATTAT